AGGGAGCTCTGGAAAGGCCGACTCAGCGGGTGGCATCCCTGCCCTCGGCAGTGGGGTTGGAGGTAAAAGTTCTTAGATGTCCCTTCCTACCCCAGCCATTCCATGACTCCGTGTTTCTATGATGTAGGCATCGGCCCCAGCAGCCCTGGTGCAGCGCATCACAAGAGGGACGGGGAGCCTCCACCCGGCTTCCCAGGGCCGTGAGGCCAGAACTCCCCGCTGTGATACCATCCCTGGACACAGGCATTGCTCTGAGTGCTGAGAGACTGCCTGAGAGAGCGCACTTTGGGTTCGGCTCCTCACAGCTGAGGAGATGCAGCAGCCGCCTGCTGTGCCTTCCCCGTGCTCACAGGAAGGCTGGAGCCGGGAAGGACTCTGCGCCTGGGGCAGGACAACGCTGGGTACATGTAGGACTGGGGGAGAGGGGCTGCAGAAGAGCTCTGTGGAGAGGCACCTGGGGCTTCTGGTTGGTGACATGTTGAATGTGGGTCAACCGCATGCCCTGGTAAAGCAGTGGGTAATGCAGGCTGACCGTACCCTGCTGGGCAAAAGGCACGGCACTGCTAGCTGATGTAGAGAAGGATTATCTTGCTTGGCCCTGTGCTGGACGGCCTCAGCTCAATTGCCGTGTGCAGTTTTGGGTGCCACAATACAGGAAAGACTGAAAACTTGAGGGAATGCCCAGCGGAGGGCATCAGAGATGCTGGTAGTCAGCAGCGCCGGCGAAAGCCTTCTGCTGGCTTAAGGGTGGCTCCGGTCTTCTTAAAACCTGAACTGCTCGGGGGGAAAGGGGCCCCGACATGCAGAGGAAGCTCTGCTCTGCTCGCCCGTGTCTGATCTCACTTGTCCCTGCAGGCCCCCAAGGTCAACCGGCAGGGTGGAATCCTGTCCCTGAGCCTGGGCTGGATGCCAGAGGCAAGTCCCCACTCTTCATTGCCTTGATATTTGCTCAGACTTGGTGGTGGACCTGTGGTGGACGTCCATTGGGACAGCCCTTACGTTGCATGCTCGAAGCAGTGCGCTGCCGTGAGGACCCACTGCGGTGTGATGAGAGATCCTCCGTGAGAGATGATTCCTGTACCCACCTCCCACGGACCCGTGCAGAGCATCTGTGCCACTCATTTTTATAACCATCAGCCATGGGCCGGAGCCCGCAGGTGCTGCAAGCAGAAACACGTCAGCTTTTGCATCGGAACCGCCGTCCCTCCCCACAGGGCACCGCCGGGCCACTCACTCGCAGCCGCCGGAGAAGCCGTGCCCGGGCCGGCAGGCGCCCAGCAGCACCACGAGAGGCGGCAGCAGCACCACCGCTCCCGAAGGCGCGCAGCAGCCCATCGCGCCCGGCTTCGTCGCCGCCGGCGCTGCTGTCACAGAACCGTTGGTTCCGAGGTTTGTGATGCCGTGAGGGGGGGGTGCGGGCAGGAGCTGGAAGGGACCCCCGGCTGCCTTCTGCCGTAGCAGCGCCCTATGTCTTGTATGGATGGATGCGGAGCCACATGGTTGAGTGTGCAACCCAGGTTTGTGAATGACAGCAGCACGAATTTCAGGCTCTGTCCCAAAGGGAAACAGCTGCTCCTAAGGCCCTCGAGGCGTCACGCGCACCAGAAGCGGCTCTCAAACAAACCTTGCTGTGGTTTTGCGTGCTGTCCTGAAGGCGGTGCCCCAGATCTGCTGAGGGTGCACAGAATGCCTCAGAGGCAGTTTGCCTTGTGTGGGTATTCAGCTGTCCCCTTAGCGCTGTTCTCCGGGAGGTTAAGGGGAGTGGTGGGACGGATGAATGGCTCCGCGTGTGTCTGAGGGAGGGATGGGTGTCTTTGTGGAGACAGGAATGGAGCAGCGCCAGCAGTACTGAGGAAACTCAGTCATGGCCCCAGAGCACACGATGCCCTCAGCAAACAGCACCGATCTGCGCTGCAATGCAGCAAAACCCGGGAGCAAAGGGGAAAAGTTAAGTGGGGAGGGGAATACTTGGGAGGAGCCAAGCAAGATGAGTAAGTATTGAAAACAAAGAAAAGGGGCAAGATGGAGGCCGATACAGGAATCATGTACAAGCAAGCTGCACGTTGGTTTGTTTGCTTGTTTTATTGGGCCCTGCATCCAATCACTGGAATCCACCTTAATATTTTGTTAAGAATTATTCTACACAGAACTCCAGAGCTGGGGGGCTGGAAGGGAACTGCAGGCAGCTCCAGCATCCACAGACCTTACAGAAGGATGAGGCCAGCCACATCTCCACCTTATTTAGGAGGATAGGGGAGTGGTGACAGACAAGGGGAAGTGGCCTCAAGTTGTGCCAGGGAGGTTTAGGTTGGATCTCAGGAAAAACTTCACTACAGAAAGGGTAGTGAAGGGTTGTTTTTAAACACATCCAGGGACAGTGACTCAACCACGTCCATGGGCAGCCCATTGCAGTGCTTATATATGGAGTTACAGGGCACAGAACTGGGGCCAGCACTTGGTGCAAGGCAAGCAATCAGAGAGCCGCACGCCAGGGAGGGCCTCCTCTGGCCCAGCCTCAGCTGGCTTGTCTGACCGGGACGGTCACCCAAGCTCCCACCAGAGCAGGGAAGTGCTGGGGAGACTTGATACGTGGAGGACTGTCCTTGAGCTCTTGTTCAGAGCTTCTGCCCTGGCAGTGTATATTTGCATTTAGGATGCGTGTCCAGTTCTGGGCTCTCCAGTTCAAAAGAGACACGGATCTCCTAGAAGGAGTCTGGCAGAGGGCCACAAAGATGACGAAGGACCTGGAGCACATCCCTGATGAGGAAAGGCTGAGTAAGCTGGGTCTGTGCAGCCTGGGGAAAAGAAGACTGAGGGGAGATCTGATCTGTGTTAATTAACACCTAAAGGGAGGTGGGAGGCAAATGATGAGGCCAGGCTCTTCTTGGTGGTGTGTTGCAATGGGACAAGGAGCGCTGGCCCAAAACTTGAACGCAGGAAGTTCCATACAAGCGTGTGCAAGAACTTTTTACGTAAGGGTGACGGAGAACTGGATCAGGTTGCCCGAGAGGTTGTGCAGTCTCCTTCTATGGAGACATTCTGGACAGGTAGGCCTGTAGGCCTGGGTGCCTACCTGTGCGACCTATTGTAGGGAACCTGCTTTAGCAGGGGGGTTGGACTCACGGATCTCTTGAGGTCCCTTCCAACCCCTGCGATTCTGTGATGCTGTGACATCAAGAGCTATTGTCTGGGTGGTCTACAGCTTCCTCACAAAGGGAAGGAGGGAAGAAGACACTGATCGCTTCTCTCTGGAGAGACTGTGCTGGAGGTGGCAGCAGCGTGATTCCTTCAGTGCAAGGTGGCAGGAGTGCAGCTGCTGCCGCAGTTTCCAGAGACCCAGGCGGGACCCTGCAGGCGATGGCCGTCAGAGCCTCTCGCCACCAAGCGTCCGGCTGCCAGCAGTGGGTGAGCTCACTTGGACGTTGCGGCCGGGAGGTGCTAACCGGCGAGTCTTACATTTCCACTACTAAATTCGGTATGGAAGCACACTAACAATGGGAAATACGCCTGGTGTAGGAAAGGGGATGTCCTTAGCCGAGGTATGGAAAACTGAAAGAGAACAGGTGAAGCTGCAGATGTACCGATAAGAATGTAAGCACGTGACGCTGGACTTGGCAGGTTTGCGGGAGGGTCTAGCTGCCCGTGTTCATATTTCAGCCATCAGCCTTTGTACCAGAGAGGCTTTATGTGCTTGGCTTGCTGTACTGCAGCACGTTTCACGTGCGTGGGTAACCTGTGCAAAAGCGCCCTGGATCCAGACCTGGTTTCTATATCACATCTTGTCCTCGGTGGCCTGAGGTGTCAGGGGCACACCGAGCTGGAAAGCATTCCCTCTCAGGGTTGTGGAGGCACTATAGAAGTTTGCCACACAAAGTTGTGCATGCCCTGTCCCTGGAAGCATTCAAGGGCAGACTGGAGGGAGCTCTGGGCAGGCTGACTCAGCGGGTGGCATCCCTGCCCTCGGCAGTGGGGTTGGAGGTAAAAGTTCTTAGTCGTCCCTTCCTACCCCAGCCATTCCGTGATTCCGTGTTTCTATGATGCAAGCACCGGTCCCAGCAGCCCTGGTGCAGCGCATCACCAAGGGGCGGGGAGCCTCCACCCAGCTTCCCAAGGCCGTGAGGTCACAATGCCCCACTGTGATGCTGTCCCTGGGCACAGGCCTTGCTCTGCGCCTGCCCCAAGTGCAACACTTGCTGTGGCGGCAGTGGTGGTGGTGGCAGCATGGCACGAGTGTGGGGGGCCACGGCCCCTGCCCGCCTTGTCGTGCTCCTCCTACTGATGGCGCTGCGTTCCCGTGAGATTTGTGCTGCTCCGCTTCGAGCACTGGCAGCAGGTGAGTGGGCATAGACGGGGCCAACACTGGGAAAACGGGGGGCCTGAAGTCACCCTTCCCTGGGGCCACCTTCCGGGTTGGACGTTAGGCAGACGGTGACGGGCAGCACCGCAGGAGCCGGGCAAGAGCCCGTGGCAGCGCTGTTCCCCAGGGCTGGCTCCAGCCGTGCCGGGCCGCGGCTCTGCCGCTTGCTGGCTGGAGCGCAGCCTTCATCCTGGGTGATGTCCAGGGGTGATGTCCTCTGTGTGCTGGGAAAAGCGTGAGCATTTCTGCTCCGGCCTCGTGGTACGCCCCTAGACGAATCCCAGTTTCCAACACAGAGCCGCGACCGCAGCCCAGAGCAAGACACAGGTGTGTTTTCCTCCGGTGCTTCGGTGTGACCTTCCTTTGTGTACACCAGAGGCGTCCCAGGAAGACAGGCCCCAGGGGCAGCTGCTTCTTCCCTGCGGTCCGTAAGGGTTGTTGCGCGTGGCGTGGAGAGCGCATTGTGGAAGCTGCCAGGTGGCAGCCAGGAGGTCCTCCCGGCCGCTCTGCAACTGTGACATCGTGACCTGAGTCTTTCTCCCGCCCCGTCACCTGACCCACCTCCAGTTTCTAAGGGAGAAGAAGATCACAACATCCCCAGCAATGGGAACGTCTCTCATCAGTTCTTGATTCTTGGTTCTAGATGCTGACATTGGTGGTGGTGAATCGACCTATTCAGACGTTAGTCTGAATCCAGGTCTTATGCCTTGGGATCAACCCAGAGGTAGGTTCTGAGTGCCTGTTTCCAAGAAGGCAGACAAATTTGTGCCCCAGTAGCATACAGTGTCATTTCAGATCCTCTCAAGGTCTTCCTAACCTGCTTGTACCTTGGAGGTCTTGCACAGATCAGTCATGAGTAGTTTGTTACTGGGAGAGCGGCCACATTTCAGTGGGAAGGTTACCCCTGCCTCTCTCCAGTTGTGAGAACGCAGACCTTCTTCTTTGCGCCACGTCAATCCCTGACCCGCCACCACACCCTGCGGGTCACTGAGGAAAAAGTAGCCCCGAGATGCAGAGGAAGCTCTGCTCTGCTCACCCGTGTCTGATCTCACTTGTCCCTGCAGGCCCTCAAGGACAACCGGCAGAGTGGAATCCTGTCCCTGAGCCTGGGCTGGACGCCAGAGGCAAGTCCCCACTCTTCATTGCCTTGATATTTGCTCAGACTTGGTGGTGATAGCTCAGCAAGCTTTCGGCTCTTCACCGGCCAGCGTGACAGTGCTGGGTGAAATGCATGGAGTCCACTGATTCCTGGGTGCTGCATGCTCCCACTGCTGCCTTTGTCTCTCTGACTCCGAGGTCTCCCAGTCAGAAAGCCTCAAGGGGCTGAATTTTGTTCATGAGGTCTCGGAGGGCTCTTTCACGTGGCCTGGAGAAAGTATTTTGAAAGCTGCTGAATGCCAGCCAGCAAGGTCCCCTGGCCCCTCTGCAACTTGGGAGCTTTTGTCCTGCGTGTGGCTCGCGTGTCACTACCTGAGCCCCGTGTAGTCACTGTAGGTTCTAAGGAAGAGAGAGGTGGCCACGTGCAATGGGAACGTTTCTCATCTGCCCTTGACGACAGCTGTGTCCGTAGGCAGTGGCTTGTGGAAGCCTCATCTTAATCTGCTCCATGAGACTCAGGGCAATCCCCCAGCTAAGTCGCTGGAAGGAAAGGGTCTGTAGGTGTTCCCCTTCCCCATTCCCTTTCCCTGTGCAGTTCCACTTTCAATAGCACGGCGCCACTGCAGGCACCCAGCAACTGTTTTCAAGGTGCTCCTGCGTTGAAGAGAGAGAAGAGGGTTGCAAAGTAGCCCCCTGTCACTCCCATCTGAAGAAGTATGTGGGCAGGTTTGACGGCAGCTGCTCTGTCCTGTGTGTCTTTACAGATGTGGATGGCGGAGAATGGGATCCAGCTTCCCAGCTGGGTTCCAGGCCAGAAGGTCCGGCGGATCTCATGGGTATGTCATGGCTTTTTACTTCCTTTGAGAGCTGCCAGCTCAGAGCTCTAATGTCAGCCAGGCACGTCTGAAGGTATGAGAATCCAGACGTGCCTTTGCGTGCCCTGTCACCGCATGATTCCCCGATAGCACCTGCCCCTCAGTGACGCCATCATGCAGCTGTAATACGTAGATTGCAGTGTATGGTGGAAAGTTCTCGTGGTTCTTTGGTTGCAGACGTGGCTCCGCAGAGGGCGTTGCCAGATCCTCGACTGGCGTCCCGCTGGCATCCCAGAGGTGGGTAGTCTGCCTTCATTGACTTCACCAGAAAGAGCACTCACATCAGAAATGGGTTTGCCTGAAATTTATCTTAAAACTCTCCATGAAGGTCCTGAGACATGGAATGAGGAACTGAAGACAGGAAAATATTCCCCTGTCCTCAAGGAAATGAAGGAGGATTTGGAGAAGGCAGTCCCTGGTGCGTATATTTCCATCTGTTCACCAAAAGGCTTGGGAAGCTGAGGTTCTACGTGTATTCGTGGAGAAACTGTAGCATGCATAGCAGGAAGGGACGGGCCAGAGCCTTGCTGTGGTGCTGCTCCTGTGTCTGAACCGGCTGCAGCTTTTGCCCGTTCCCTTTGAAAGAAGGCATTTAGCATCACCTTGCAGCTTGTCAAAAACGCACAGCGTGCACTGTGAACAACAAACTCACCTGCAACCTGCCGGTCTCCCAGCAGGCCAGGTTTTGCTGTCCGTGCAACAGAACTGGAAGTGTGTAGCATTTTTTTTTCCAGTGAATGACACTTTCAGACTGGTGACGAGGCGCACCGCAAAAAGCCCAGGCTTTGTTTCTGAACTTTCTTGCTGTACCTTGCCTCCTGAAGATACTATCATCCTGATGAGGAGCACTTACTTACAGTCCCATGCTCCTGCCTTCTTTCAAGAGAGGCAGACAGAGAGCCTGTGCAGATGGGGAAGGCAGCAGTCTCACGCTGCCCATCTCTCGGAAAGAAACAGAGGACACACAAGCAACTGGTCCTGCAGTTAAAGGTCTCTCACAGTGCTCTGTGTCTGTGGTTACATGTTGTACAGCTCCCACTGCACCCAGTTCCCAGGAACTTGTTGCATGAGGCACAAGGCATGACAGAAGCCTAGAGCGGGATCCCTCCTGTGAGCCGAGGCGCGGGGGGATACACTGACCCACAGAGATGGGGCACTGGCATTGAGGGATCCTTCTGCTCCTTCTCATGGATAGGTCGCCGAAAGGGAGGAGCATTCCGGTTTTAGTTTTCTTTCCAAGTGAATTGTGACTTCACAGTTCCTTTGCAGAAGGGAAGGGAAGGGAGGTTATGGGTCAGGCTGGGTGATGTACGTGAAGTGCCGTGCCTTGCAAAGCTGTCTTTGCCGGCCACTCCAGCCGTGAGCTGCTCCCAGTGCCTTCTGCCATGGTGCAGTTGAGTTTAGAGCTGGCGTGAGCTCCAGGAGGACGTTCCTCTGGGTAGCTCCACGCACTGTTAGATTTGTACAATCGTGGTTCCCCACGTGGGCACCCAGGATCTGCTTCCAAGCTGCTTCTGTGTGGGAGAGAACAGCGTCGTGAAGGAATCTCCTGCTTCAATCGCATGCTCTGCCATTCTGACTGGCAGAACGTCTGAGTTGCTCTGTCCTGTGCTTGTTTGCAGGTGTGACTGGAAGTGAAGGTCATCCAGCTTCCCCGCCGAGTTCCAGGACTGAAGCTCTGTCAGATCACACGGGTATGCCATGGCTTTTAGTTCCTGTGCGAGCTGCCAGCTCAAAGGCCGAATGTCGGCCAGGTCTCTCGGCAGGTGTGAGGGCAAAGTGCTGCGTGTGTGTGCCCTTTCCTTGCACGATCCCCCGGTATGCTCCACTGTGCTCCACAGCGATGCCGTCGTGTACGGAAACTTTTCACGGCTCTTTGGTTGCAGAAGTGCCCCCAGGGAGGGCTTTGCGTGTCCTTGGCACGGGAGATTTAATTTCATGCATTCTGTGCAGGTCCGGAAAGAGGAAAGGGTGCATCGAGAGGAGGGTATTACGCCTGGTGGTCGTCCCGTGTCCAAAGGAAACCCGTGATGAAAATAGGGGAGGCAGTGCATGGCGGAACTAAAGGGACTGACCAAGAGACTGTGCAGAAGAAGCCGTTGCAGGAAGGCAGCAGTGACACGCAGCCAGTCTCTGACCGAAATGCTCAGGCAGAACAAGCAGCTGCTTTGCCAGGTAATTTCAGTCCCGTGGTCATCCGGTGTCCCCAGCCAGAATCACTGCGTGCCACCAGGCTCTCCCTGCCTGCTCTTGCACAGCAGGCCAGCAGCCAAACCTGAGCGTGTTCCTACAGAGCACGTGCTACAAAGGAGCCCGAGGGCCATGAGCCCTGCCTGGTAGGAGCCTGCAGGAGTGTTTCTCCACTGGGCTGTCTCCAGCTGTGCCTTGTGCTGGCTGGAGGCTGACCTTCAGCCTGGGGAATGTCCTGGGGGAGAGCCTGGGGGACATGAAATGTGGGGAAAGTGTGAGGGTTTCTGCTCTGCAGTGCTGCCCACGGACAAAGCCCAGACCCCAGGGCAGAGCCCGGCCCTCAGCCCAGAGGAACAGATGGGCAGTGCCGGTGCAGCCTCTCCCTACCCAACGGGAAGTGGAAGCAATCCTTCTTGTCCTCTGGTGCTTATACACCGGAGACGGAGGTACCCACTGATGAAAAAGGAAATCTCTTGGCTCCGTGAAGCGCACTGTGAGATCATCTGCATTGCAGATGACAGTAACCTGCGGCACTGTCTCGGTTCTTGCAGGGGTGGACGTAGGGAAAATCACAAAGGCTGCTGTTGGCAAGGAGCTGCAAAAACGCCACATCCCAGTGGTTGCTGTGGTCTCAGCTGCGCTGCTGTCTGTCCTGACGCTGGCCTGCATTCCTATGCTATGGATGTGGAAAAAATACCTGTGAGTTGACTTTTCCCCAAGACACTATCGCTGCATTTGGCTACAAAGCATTTGTGGTGACAGGATCCTGATGGCCAAATCAGCTGCTGGCAGTACACTGCCGGCATTTATGTTGCAAGGCCTTTCAAGCGTCCCTCGATTCCTATCGGTGAGCAGTGCTTTCTGAAACTCATTCCCACAGGGCGCGCAAGAGAGAACGGGCAGCAGCAGGACAAGCTCCTCCTGACACCGACTGCGAGAGAGATCAGAACACAAGCGAAGGCCAAGCAGAGCTGGAGGAGGCTGCAGAGCAGGATGCACTTGATCAAGGAAACAACTTCTCCATCCCATTATGGTGGTCCTCCAATGCAGAATTTGCTGAGCTGTGCAGAAGAATCAGCACAGACCCCTCCCTTCAGCCTGCATGGCCCAGCAGCTCTCCCGCTGACAACATCTCTTCCGTTCATACCTGCAGTCCTTAGGACTCCCCTGAGCCATCCAGTGCCCCTGTTACCGGTGCTGAGGGCTCAGGTTCATTTCCATCAAGTTCCATCTTTATGATCAATAAAAACATCCTATTCCAAAGCTGCTGCTGTGACCATTTCCATTGGGTTACAGGGCACGGGTCTGGGGCCAGCACTTGGGAAAGCATTCCCTCTCAGGGTTGTGGAGGCACTATAGAAGTTTGCCACACAAAGTTGTGGATGCCCTGTCCCTGGACGCGTTCAAGGCCAGGTTAGAGGGAGCTCTGGAAAGGCCGACTCAGCGGGTGGCATCCCTGCCCTCGGCAGTGGGGTTGGAGGTAAAAGTTCTTAGATGTCCCTTCCTACCCCAGCCATTCCATGACTCCGTGTTTCTATGATGTAGGCATCGGCCCCAGCAGCCCTGGTGCAGCGCATCACAAGAGGGGCGGGGAGCCTCCACCCGGCTTCCCGGGGCCGTGAGGCCACAACGCCCCGCTGTGATGCCATCCCTGGACACAGGCATTGCTCTGAGTGCTGAGAGACTGCCTGAGAGAGCGCACTTTGGGTTCGGCTCCTCACAGCTGAGGAGATGCAGGGCTGCGGCCTGCGGCACCTGCAGCAGCCGCCTGCTGTGCCTTCCCTGTGCTCACAGGAAGGCTGGAGCCGGGAAGGACTCTGCGCCTGGGGCAGGACAACGCTGGGTACATGTAGGACTGGGGGAGAGGGGCTGCAGAAGAGCTCTGTGGAGAGGCACCTGGGGCTTCTGGTTGGTGACATGTTGAATGTGGGTCAACCGCATGCCCTGGTAAAGCAGTGGGTAATGCAGGCTGACCGTACCCTGCTGGGCAAAAGGCACGGCACTGCTAGCTGATGTAGAGAAGGATTATCTTCCTCGGCCCTGTGCTGGGCGGCCTCAGCTCAATTGCCGTGTGCAATTTTGGGTGCCACAATACAGGAAAGACTGAAAACTTCAGGGAGTGCCCAGCGGAGGGCATCAGAGATGATGGCAGTCTAGTGGGCAGAACGTGTGAGGTCACTTGGTTTGTTCTGCTTAGAGAACAGGATCTGTGCAGAGAGGGACCTGAGGGTTCTGGTGGGCAGCAGGCTGGCTGTAAGCCAGCAGCGAGCCCTTAGGCCAAGAAGGCCAATGGTATCCTGGGGCGCATTAAAAAGAGCGAGGCCGGCAGGCCAAGGGAGGTGATGCTCTCGCTCTGCTCTGCTCACGGTATTCACATTTAGAATACCGTGTCCAGTTCTGGGCTCTCCAGTTCAAAAGAGACACGGATCTCCTAGAAGGAGTCTGGCAGAGGGCCACAAAGATGACGAAGGACCTGGAGCACATCCCTGATGAGGAAAGGCTGAGTAAGCTGGGTCTGTGCAGCCTGGGGAAAAGAAGACTGAGGGGAGATCTGATCTGTGTTAATTAACACCTAAAGGGAGGTGGGAGGCAAATGATGAGGCCAGGCTCTTCTTGGTGGTGTGTTGCAATGGGACAAGGAGCGCTGGCCCAAAACTTGAACGCAGGAAGTTCCATACAAGCGTGTGCAAGAACTTTTTACGTAAGGGTGACGGAGAACTGGATCAGGTTGCCCGAGAGGTTGTGCAGTCTCCTTCTATGGAGACATTCTGGACAGGTAGGCCTGTAGGCCTGGGTGCCTACCTGTGCGACCTATTGTAGGGAACCTGCTTTAGCAGGGGGGTTGGACTCACGGATCTCTTGAGGTCCCTTCCAACCCCTGCGATTCTGTGATGCTGTGACATCAAGAGCTATTGTCTGGGTGGTCTACAGCTTCCTCACAAAGGGAAGGAGGGAAGAAGACACTGATCGCTTCTCTCTGGAGAGACTGTGCTGGAGGTGGCAGCAGCGTGATTCCTTCAGTGCAAGGTGGCAGGAGTGCAGCTGCTGCCGCAGTTTCCAGAGACCCAGGCGGGACCCTGCAGGCGATGGCCGTCAGAGCCTCTCGCCACCAAGCGTCCGGCTGCCAGCAGTGGGTGAGCTCACTTGGACGTTGCGGCCGGGAGGTGCTAACCGGCGAGTCTTACATTTCCACTACTAAATTCGGTATGGAAGCACACTAACAATGGGAAATACGCCTGGTGTAGGAAAGGGGATGTCCTTAGCCGAGGTATGGAAAACTGAAAGAGAACAGGTGAAGCTGCAGATGTACCGATAAGAATGTAAGCACGTGACGCTGGACTTGGCAGGTTTGCGGGAGGGTCTAGCTGCCCGTGTTCATATTTCAGCCATCAGCCTTTGTACCAGAGAGGCTTTATGTGCTTGGCTTGCTGTACTGCAGCACGTTTCACGTGCGTGGGTAACCTGTGCAAAAGCGCCCTTGTTCAGCTCCTCACAGCTGAGGAGATGCAGGGTTGCATGTCTGGATGCTGACAATCCACAGCCTGGACTCGTGCAGGACTTCTGTGCCGCACACATTGCACACATTTTTATAACGATCTGCCATGGGCCGGTGCCCGCAGGTGCTGCAAGCTGAAACACGTCAGCTTTTGCATCGGAACCGCTGTCCCTCCCCATGGGGCGCCGCGATATTCTTGCAGTGTGTATGACAAAGTATACAGATATACACCTATATGCATAGTGTGCGTTTCTGGGAAGGTTCGTCTAGAGGATAAGTGCTCCTCCATAGAAGGAAACTGCACAACCTCTTGGGCAACCTGATCCAGTTCTCCGTCACCCTTACGTAAAAAGTTCTTGCACACGCTTGTATGGAACTTCCTGCGTTCAAGTTTTGGGCCAGCGCTCCTTGTCCTATTGCAACACACCACCAAGAAGAGCCTGGCCTCATCATTTGCCTCAGAGATCTTCCCCAAGTAGAAGGACTCGCAAGAATTACGATGATAGCAGAGATCGTGAAACAAAAAAATTATCCAATTCTAATGCAGAAACATTTTTTCCCACACAGGATATAATAAAACACAGCATTCCAGATCACCACAACCTCTGCGAAGGAAGGAAAAGATGCTCCAGGCCAGCCTCTTCACAACTTCTTGGCAAGCTCCCCACTCAGGGAATGACTGGGGCAGGTGTATGCAAACACGCCACAAAAGCACCACCATGGCTAAGGAGCCAGGTTTTGCCCTGATTTCAGCCCTTGCTCCGAGCCCCGTGGGGAAACGGGAACATGGGAAGCCGCTGGGACGTGGGATGTCTTTTGTCCCTGAGCCAGATCCTCAGGAAACACCAGCTCCCAGGAAACCTGGCCTTGGACTGCCCTGTCACGGGGGTTTGAGCCATGCCGAAAGGAACGTGGGAGCTCTGGGTAGCTCTGCTGTTGGGACCTGGATGCCACATTGTCCCCAGAGCCTAGCCGGACCCTGAGCAGGGCTCTCGCAGCAGCCCCCATCAACGTCCAGCAGGAGCTGCAGCTTTGTGGGATAAAGAAGGTTGTTGTACTGCTCATGAGTGGTAAAGCTCAACAGTAACTTGAGCCAGACATATACGGCCACAAGGCACCTAACCCTTACATGTGACCAGACTTGGTTAGGCAGGAAAACTGTTGTGTTGCAGGTATAAAAGGTGGTAAGTGCCTAGAATAAATGCCTTTTGTTCTACACCAGCGAAATGTGTCTGCACCTCATTTGCCCCTTCAGCACGAGAACCTGAGTAGCCCTGCCACACGGCTTCCCCGTGTGATGCCTTGGGAAGGCATTCCTGAAAGCCTTACCCTTGGCAGAGAGTTGCAGGAGCACTGGGAATGTGGAGACCAGCTCTGAGCTGATGGTCATAGTCCAGCAGCCCTCCGTGTTGCCTGCCGACGGCCCTCAGCTCAGAACAAAGGATGCTCTCCATGGCTCCTCAACCAACAATTCTGTGCGAGGTATCCCTGCTCCTCCACGCGTTAGCGAGGGTTGCCCAGTGCAGCCTTGCAGCCCCTGACCCCACTCCAGGCCACAGAAGGACAGAGCCCCTGAGCGGGGCTCCAGCAGCACCCAGGCCCTGTAGGGAAGTGCCGGCGCTGCCGGATGATACCCTTGTGATGCAGTGCATCACACAGTGACATCAGCCCATGTCACCTGGAACCCTGTTAGGTCACCACCGTGGAGAGGGCACGACTCGGGAACGGTGATAGGGATGTCCCTTCCTGTCCAGAGAACTGGTCACCTCACTTGTCTCCATTTTTTTTATTTCCCGCAGTTTCTGAGAAATCCATCAGGAAGCCCATGGAAGTAAATGAGGCGGAGGGGCTCTGAGCAGCGCTTATGCCATTCTTCTGGCCCGGTTTGGCCTAGTTCTGTGATTAAAGGGGCTGAGGGACCCATGGGCCCACACCTCTGGGCAGGCAGAAGATAGGAAGGGAAAAAGACAGGGAGGTGGGCCTAAATACACAACAGAGGCAACGAGCTATGGGAGAAAAAACTAATATGACAGCAGAATGCGAGATAACACAATTCAATACAGTATAATTGGAATTGAAGCTAAGAAGTCGAATAAATGAGAGCATCCGAAAAGCAAAGGCCTGGCTGTGATGCTGTAGGCGGGATGGCTGGGAAGCACACACCACAGAGATGAGCAGAAAAAGAGACAGGGAAGGCAAAAAAGAGA